AGTGGAACAGGTACGGAGCAGAAAGGGAGTGGTCCGGCAGCTTCCGAGGCTCCAGGTACGTTTCTTCTGCTGCGTCAGCCTCGGCAGCACGGTCGGCGAAGGAACGAAGGCCCGCGAAGCCGTCGGTGGGGTCATGTGTGTTGGCAATGTTGTCCAGGTAATGCTGCAGCGTCAGTCGCTCGTAGAAGATAACATCACGTGATGCCACGGTAGTTTTGTCTTGGATGTCGAGGATTTTCCATGCGTGAAAATGTTTGGCGATGCCGAGGTGTAGTCCCCACCGTGCTCGTTGAGAGAAGCGTCCTGCTCGGGTTGTGGGGTCTGTACTGTACCATGCAGCCGAAAACTCGAAGTAATTTTGTGCTGCCCCTTTTTCGTGTCCACAGCAGGTGCGGTGATGCGTTGTTGGGGAGCGATGACAAGGAGAGCAAATTGTGCAGGTGGACTGCATGGGTCATCGCGTCTGGCCACAGTGCGTTGGGCAGTCTCATCCCCAGGAGCAGCTTCCGCATCGTGGTCTGCAAGGTCCGGTTCATTCTTTCTGCGACCCCCTGTTGCTGGTGAGCGTAGGGTAGAGACACCAGGCGTCTGATTCCTCTTTCCGCCAGATAGGTCCTGAAGCGTTGTGACTGGTATTCCAGTGCACCGTCTGACTGGAAGCTTTTGAGCTTGGTTCCTGATTCTCGTTCGGCGATGGGGAGCCATGTCGTGAAGGCGTCGAAGACTTGATCGCGCGTCTTGAGGTTGTAGTGCCAAACATATCTTGTTGTTGCATCGATAAAAGTGATGACGTAGTTGAAGTCGGCCTCCGTGTCGTCTCGAGGCATGTTTAAGATGTCGCTGTAAACTTTTTCCATCGGTGCATATGCAGGCGCACTTGGATTGTGATGTGATGGGAAGGTTGATGGGGAAGATCTGCTTCGGGGCACGTGAAGCACCGTGCGCGAGGTCTTCGAAGTTCTTGGCCGCTTGTTGTTAGAAGAGCGTTTCGTTCTAATACTTCGGCTTGGATTGTTTGTAGTACGGTGCTGTTTGCAGGATGCCCAAGGCGTTGGTGCCAGATGTCGTCAGAAGCTCGATGGCCGGGCGAGCGTTGGTACATGTCGGCGTTGGAGAAGAACGCGACGACCGTGGCGGGACTTCGGCAGACTTCTCGTGTGATGGGCATAAGTTGATCTGCTTCAGTTGGCGGTCCGCGGATCGCTGGTGGTGGTACTCGGCTGGGTCCTGCTGCTGCTACTGCAGGTGATGGTTGGGAAGGGACACTTGCTGCTACTTGTCTTTCTTGTCTTATGACTGTTAATGCTCGTGTTCTCTCTGCTGCAGGTATGGTGTTGGAGTACCAGAATCCATCGGGGTTGAAGTCGGGATCAAGATCCGGCGGGTGTGTCCAGGCGGCGAACGACACAATCCCATCGCTGTCGGCAGTACCGCGGTCGGGGACGAAGTCCAACACGAAGACGCCGGACTTCAGGAGAGCACGACCGATGAAGGGCCGCCTTTCCCGTGGTAAAGACGAAACTCGTTGGAGTAGGAGTCGCACTCCAGGTGAATCCCTTTTGCCATTAAATGGCTGACGCTTAGCAGGTTGTAACCCAAGTTGTCGACGATGAGGACCTTGTTGAGTTGAAGTATAACGTTTGTCTCCATGATTGTAACTTGAACCACGCCTTGTCTGTTTGTTTTCAGGTTTTCGTTGTTGGCGACGTGATTGATGACGTCGCGGTTGAGGCGTCGCTCTCGTTGCACAAAGCGTCCGGAAGAACACATGTGTTGGCCGCAGCAGCTGTCCAAGAACCAGGGTATTTCGCCCGGTGGGTTCGGCGTTGGCCGATCGCAGCGTATGTCGGGTTGACCTGAAGTCCTTGTGAGCGCGGCGGCCGGAAGTTCTTCTTCATCTGGTGCGTAGGTGGGTGGGGATCCGGGTGCGCAGTTGTCGATGTGTACCATGCAGTTAATGATGTTCGGTGTCCCTTGTGCAGATGCGGAAGAGCGCCTTGGAGGGCTTTCTTGAGTGGAGGCGACGTGTGGGTCTACTAGACGATAAACACGAGGACGTGTGCAGTTGACTTGGAATGTCCGGAAGTCTGAGAGTTGTGGCAGAACTGGCGGCACGAAGGTGAGTCCTCTGTTGTCGCGTTGATCTTGCTTGCCGCGTCGATTGTAGTTGTTGTCGTTCCTTCGTTGAGTGTAGAAAACTAACTGTTGCTGCTTCCTTGGTTGTCTTTCTTCGAACAGGTCCATCTCCTGTTGTTCAGCGTGAAGCTCGGCGCAGAGATGCATCTCCGAGATCCGTCCGTGGGCGCGAAGAAGCGAGCATGTGGTTCTCCATTCTGGTCCGAGCCCGGCGAGGACAAGCGTCACGAAGCTTTCCTCAGTGATTGTTCCTCCGCACCGAAGCAGGCGATCGCGGAGGGTCTGGCAGCGACTCATATACTGCATCGCCTTTTTCCCCTGTCTTCATCTGTATTGTTTTCAGTTGTTGCATGAGTCTGCTTTGTGTCACGCTGTCGTTTGCTTGATAGAGACACTTGAGATGATGCCATGCGAGTTCCCGCGGAGTTTCCATAGCTCCGATATGTTCTGATGCTCTGCTGTTCTTGTGGTGACAGGTTCCGCAAGAGAACTGTGTACGCCAGCAGCGACTGATAAGTAAATATTTCTTGCTCCTTTGCAGTGCCGTTGCTTGGGAATGGCAGGGACCCATTGAAGTATCCCAGGAGATGCGCAGCCTCCATCAGCAGCTCGAACTCAAAACTCCAGGTAAAGAAATCGTGTCCGTTGAATGGTGATGATGTCTGCAGTTTAATCACGTGTGAAAACTGCGCTTGGAGACTTAAGATCGCGTTTGGTGTTTGTTGTGATGCAGCTGCTGTTGGTTGGGCACGGGCGGCATGAACTCGAACGTCCCCGGTGAAGAGTGATAAGGTGCAAAGGTAGGCGCTTGATTGTGTCGCTCGAACGATGAATTGTCGAGGCTCATCGGTGCTAATCCCATGTTTCCTCCGTTGCTCTGTGTTGAATGCGCAGGTGTCCTTGTCTGCTGCTACTGCTCGAAGTGCGACATGAAGCTGAAGAACCTTTCCATAAGGTTCGGATCCACGCTTGAAGAGGGTGATGGGGTCACCATTTCCGGTGCTCTTCCTGTTGTTTCTTGAGCAGCGCCGGTCTCGGTTTGCAGTCCTGAAGTATGCAATCCAGAGTTGCCGGGTTGAATGTCTTGGGCGCTGGGTGAGCCCGTAGAGGTCTTCTTGCCCTTGCTGTCCATGGCTTGTAATTAATGAAGTCGTTGAATTGCATATTGTAGGTAGATCGTAGTTGCTGGGAGTTTGGTCACTGACCAGCTCTCATACCATGTTGGGCTGAGAAAAGCCCTTAGGATCTTTCCAGAGACTAAGTCCCAGTTGTAGAATGAGACTTGAGTAGTGCAGCGGAAGTTGAGGCAGTTGAACCCTTGTACTAGTATATGAGAACAAGTGATTGATTAAAGAAACAAGCATACAGCAATATATAGAAAATAAGAAAGCAGTTGTAGAATACAGTTGCAGGAATGGTTATCGAGTCGCACAGCGACTCGATTGTCGCTTCGGTTACCATCCGAGCTGTTGTAACGGTCAGTCGCAACCTCCAGTTGCGACCCTTCGAGTCCCTTCGCGTTCTTTGTTCGCCCCCTCGTGTAACCTCCGTTGACTCGCGTACCCGTTGCGATCTTCCTCGAGTGTAGTGTTACACTTCAGAAACGCTTAAGTCCTTTGAGGTATTTCCAACAAATACCAATACTGCCAGTATACCAGTATGTTGCCATTATGCACGACCCAATTCTTTGTGCTTTCCCCTTGTGGTTGGGCACTTGTGCGCAGCACAGGGGTGATGCTGAAAATCAGCACTTGTGCATTTTCAAAGGCATGCTGCTCAAGTAAATTACTGAAGGTTAGGCACGATGGAAATTAGGCTGAATTCGAAGTATTCCAACTAACATAGGTCTCATTGCAGAGTAAATGATAATATGGTATCTTCCATCTGCGGGCATGTCGCACTTCAACACGTCTATATGGTATAGCGAGTTACCTCCAAAGGCTGCCATGCCAGTTGCCTGTCTCCGATTGGCCTACATACCCTCTGCGTTGTTTTTTCCGCCTCCTGTAATTGGTTTACGGACGAAAGCAGAAAGCTGATTTGTCGAAATAAATTCGCCAGGTTTCTGAAAGGGAGCAGTGAATCTCCTCCCACCAACTGCGTAGTGCCCTCTCGAGTACCAACTAGAATGAGAGTACTGTACTGTACTCGTTCCATCTGGTGGAGCATTGACAAGCTCCGGCACCAAAAGGAATCCCGTGAAACTGTCAACCACCACAATGAGGCACCTGGGCTCCTGGAACAGCTTGCTGACGTCAATCCTGCGTGGAGTGTGCCTCACATCAACGTCAACAGCACGGGTTTCCCGCCAACTTTGCCTGGGCTGGATGCAGTCACCCACAGCATGCGCAGCTCCCCTTTCTGAAACCCCCGTGCCCCACTTCGCTTGCCATGCTCCTTCGTGGGCCACCACGTGGCAGTAGCGTCCAGGTCGGGGGGGGACGGGACTGTTATGGGGGGACTAGCACGGCGCGGTTCGCCGCTCACCCTCGCAATTGGACGGAATCTGAATCCGTTCCGTCGTTAAATGGCCCTTAAGCCAAGCCGAAGAACCGCTGTTATTGGTTCCTCTCGAGCTCCGTCCCTGGCGAACCGACGCCGGACTAGGCGCTTCCCTCCTGTCCGTCGGCAAAAACCACAACCTCCGTTTCCCTGACGGAGCTTTCACTTCACTTCCCCCGCTTCCCTTCCACCACCCCCCCCCCCTCCCCCCCTTGGACCCACTCTTTCTTCTCGTCCGTCCAACCTTGTCGCTTCAGGGCCCATTCTCCCGTTCCCCCCATCCTCCCCTCGTCCTCCCCCCATCCTCCCCATTCTGTAGTAGAAACCCTAGAGCCTTTTGCTTTTGCCGTAAAGCCTAGAGCCTCGAGAATTGCTGCTCATTTCAGCTTAGCCCAGCTTCGACCAGCTCAGACCAGGTCTCTAGATTAAATAGGAAGGCCTGGTACTCAGCTTATTTTATTGACCCGCGTTTTTCGTTAGCGTTTAGATCTGACATTAAAGGGCAAGCCCCGTTAGTGCTGTGAGCCATTGGCGGGACTTAGCCTCTGTGGCTACAAGCGTTTTCTTGATTCCGATTTGTCATTCCCGAGGCGCCAGATAGCGCGATGGTTGCGACTCTCGCCTTGTATTCCAGCTCCTCACCCGGGGCTGTTCTTTCCTCTTCAAAATCCTTCTCGCCTTTTCCTACCGTGTCCGATGGGGATGCAACCAGCGCGTTAGACAACCAAAACAACCGTAAATCTTCCCGAGGCGGCCTGTCCTCCCTGCTTACGTCATCGAGTCCTAGACATGGCTCTTATGGCTCCCTGCCGAGCTCCGAGCTCACCGGAACCTTGGGATCTGGCGCTTTCGGTGGTCAGGATAGCGCTTATTTCGGCAACAGTGTAAATAACACTGGGTCTTTATCTGACGGCGGTCGGTTTCTCACCACAGCAGTTAACATCCCGTCTAACAGCTCTAAGCTTAAGCCTCGTCGCTCCAGCCTCTCCGTGAGCACGACAACGACGACCAGAAGCGGCTTCCACACCTCCCTCGCCTCGTCCCTAACATGCAGAAGCGAGCCCCGTCTCTCATCGTCCATCGACGTCAGCAGCAGCGCTCGGACACGTCGGTTCGCCCCGCTTACAGCACCCGCTCCTGCAGACGCCAAGCCCATGCAACGGAGCGTCGGTTTCAATGTCAAAGCGTCAGCCTCCGCTACTGAAGCCCGCGTCGCCTCGGTCCCCTCGTCCGACAGCCAGACCGCCACGCGATTCGTGCCGCTAGGAGCGGACGGGAAGCCTAAGCCCGGTCTCGCGTCCATTCAAGATCTGGTAGAGGAGGTGACGTCAGCGTCGTCAGCGTCGTCAGCCGCGCAGGGGACGAACTGGCCGGCGCTGGTTACGTCGCTGTCGGGTTCCGCTCCCGGGGTGTGGCGCGTCGGGACAGATTCCGGCGCCGAGCTCGTGAATACGTCGCTGCTGAGCATGGCGAAGCTGACGGCGCTCCCCAATGGCGGCGTCAGGATGCACGATTCTGCTGCTGCTGCTGCTAGTGGGGGGATTCCGTTCCGGCAAGTGCGGTCTGCGGTTGAGATGGGGAGGGATCCGGATGCGCTGTTGTCGGACGATGATTGGCTGAGATACGCGCAGGGGAAGCACTCGGTGTTTTACGACCCCCTGGTTAAGCTGGCGTTTCAAGTGGCTGCTGACGCGCACCAGGGACAGGTATGTTGTGTGATTGAGAAAAGGCGTGTTTTTTTTACTCGTAAGCATCGGTAGTTGAAGTTTTTATGTTTCTTGCTGACCGACAGCCTCACCTTAATTCTAGGAACAAAGGTAACGTAGCTCTGCTTTTGTCTTCAATGGCTTCGTTTCTTCCAGCATTTGTTCGGTGTTTCCTAACCCTTTTTCTTGTTCACTTTATCCTCCTTATTGGCAGTTCCGCAAGAGCGGCCAGCCAGTCATCTCTCACTGCGTGGAGACGGCTCTGATTCTCGCCGGCATCGGCGCCGATAAGGTCGTCGTCGCCGCGGGTCTCCTGCACGACGTCATCGACGATACGGCGACGTCGGAGCAGCACCTGCGCGACGTCTTCGGCGACGAAATCGCGTCGCTCGTCGCTGGCGTGAGCAAGCTCAGCCTCGTCTCGCAGCTCACGCGCGACAGCTCGCGAAACCTCACCCCCGGTGAAATCGACAACCTTCGCACGATGTTCGTCGCGATGGCGGACGTGCGCGTGGTCCTCGTGAAACTCGCCGACCGCATGCACTGCCTGCGTACCATCGACGCGCTCCCCGTGAAAACCCAGCAGCGCTTATCGCGGGAAACCCTGGACGTGTTCGCGCCGCTGGCGAACCGGCTGGGCATCTGGTCGTGGAAGGCGGAGATCGAAGACGCGTGCTTCCGCTGCCTGCACCCGCGCGAGCACGCGGACCTGCTGGCGGAGCTGGACCGGAGTAGCGCTCGCGGCGGCGCCCGCGCTAGCAGTAGCAGCGGTAGCGGTTTCGCTAGTAGGAATGTCACTGGCAGCCGCGAGCGTGCGAAGGAGGAGGATGGTGTGGGGAGCGGCAGCGGCGGCAGTGGCGGCGAGGCGAGCGTGATGGCGGCTATCCGGAAGCTGAGCGCGGCCCTGGAGGCCAAGGGCGTGCAGTTCGAGGACCTGAGCGGGCGGCCGAAGAACCTCTATAGCATCTTCAACAAGATGACCAAGTAAGCGCCTATTTCGCTGAGTGACCCAGAACGCGAAAAGTGCACAGCATCTCCACAAACCCCACGTTGCCCCCCCATTTTCCCCCCTCCCCCCAACCCACTCCCGTCCTCCTCCCCGCGCCCAACACTATATTTTTTCTCATCCTCCCCTCCCCGCTCCCTGTTATTGCTGGGCGCCTGCTGTTGGTCGCATCGTGTCGGCATCCTTTCACTTTGAGTGGCGGTTGCCTGCTGGTCCCATTCTTCCTTCTCCTGATGGCGTCTCTCCCCTGTGTCCTGTACCCCCTCCCCCCTCCTCCCCCCCTCCTCCCCCCACCCGCGCCCCCCGACTCCTGCATCGTCCCTCCCCCGCCCTTGCCCTTCCCCAGGAAGGGTCGGTCGCTGCACGAGATCATGGACGTGCGCGGGCTGCGCCTCATCGCGTCGGACGAGAGCGCGTGCTACGACGCTCTTGCCGTCGTGCACGCTCTCTGGGCGCCCTGGGCCGGCCGCCACCTCAAGGACTACGTGCGCGCGCCCAAGCCCAACGGGTACCAGTCGATCCACTCGGTGGTGTGCGGTGACGATGGGTTGCCGCTGGAGGTGCAGATCCGCACGCCCGCCATGCACCACCAGGCGGAGTTCGGCGTGGCGGCGCACTGGCGCTACAAGGAAGCGGGCTTCCGAAACAGTAGCGCGGATAAGACAGCCGGGAAAGGGAACGGTAGCAGTAGTAGTAGCAGTAGCAGGAGAAAAGGCAAAGGTCAGGGTCAGGAGGATCTGGAACAGGAGGCGGGCTCGTCATCAGGCCCGTCGCCAGCGGTGCTGGCGAAGATCGAGTGGGTGCGGTACGTTCTGTCGTGGTACAGCGAGATGAGCGACACCAAGCTGCGCCTCACCCCGCCCTCCAAGCGCCTCTCCCCCTCCTCCCTCTACCTCGCCAGCATGGCCGCCGTCGGCTGCGGCGCCCCCGCCACTGCTGTTGCCGCCACTGCCGCCTCCTCCCCGTCCTGCTCCCCCTCCGCCTCGTCCCCCTGCTCCTCCCCTGGCTGCGCGTCCCCGTCTCAGTGCATGGGTGCCAGTGCCAGTGCATGCGGTGCTGACTGTGGCGACGCTACCTGCGAGCTTCCGGAGCGATGCCCCTTCCCGGAGCACTTGGAGTCGTGCCGCTTCCGCAGCTTCCCGTTTGAGTCCACGCCAGCGAGCCCGTCAGGCGATGCCTTCTCTCCGTTCGCGAGTGCGCCCGTGCCACCAGCGATGGACGACGAGGAGATCTACGTGCTGGTGATGGAGGGCAACAGGGTGAGTGATTTCTCCCTGTCCCTGAACGTGACCCTGGCCTACGTACATTTCTTAATAGTGCCATCCTGCTTCCCGTTCCTCATTCACTGACTCCCCAACCCCCTCATCTTTCATGCTTCCTCGTTTCCTGCATCCGGGTGGGATTTCTCTCTAATCCGTTTTGCGCTCCCGACTGTTCCCGACTGTTCCCTACTGTTCCTGCCTGTCCTCTTCCTGCTCTCAGATATCCGTGAGAGAAATCCCCGCCATGACCACAGTCGCTGCGTTCCTGGAGCAGTACTCTGAAGAAACCGCTCTGGAGGAGGAGAACCCCCCCCTGGAGGGGAATTCCCTCGAGAGGAAACCTCTGGAGGGGACCTCTCCAGACGCGTTGCTGAAGGAACTGTGGCAGAAGCAGGACGAGCTGCGGCTGAATCACCTCTACCCCCTGCACCATCTGCACCACCTGCACCACCCGCACCACCCGCACCACCCTCAGCAGCAGAGAGAGAAGCAGGCAGGGACAGGCAGTGGCAGCCGAGTGTCTCTGCGAGTCAACTCGGAGCTGGTAGGGGAGGGTGAGGCCGCTAGTCAGAGGTTGAAAATGGGCGATCTGGTGGAGGTAGTATTGCACCGTGCAAGCCTTGGTGCTGCTGATTCCCCTGCTGCTGCTGGGGGTGGTGGTGCTGCAGATGATGGCGTTCGCCTGTTGGAAGATGCTCTACCAGGGGCAGGAACAGCGTTTAAGGAGGCGGAGGCAGGGGGGCCGGTGGGGCAGGAAGGGTTGGAGGAGGTGGGGCTGCTGCCGGCGTTCGCGATGCTGCATGAGGAGGACGATGATGACTGGCTTGTGGTGGCCCATGGAGGGAGCAGCAGCAGCAGCAGCTTGGGAGGGGCTGTGGCACCTGGGGTCATGGCCCGTGCTTGGTGCTTGTGAAGATGGAATGGAACTGATTAGTAAGCTTCAGGTGAAGATGGGGATGACTGGCTTGTGGCCCATGGGCGGAGCAGCAGCAGCAGCCCGGGGATCATCTGACTCCTGGGGTCAGGGCTGGTGCATGGTGCATGGGAAAACCTAGGTGAAGGTGTCTATTTTGAGGCATATTTGTACATATGGGATGTGTTATGTGTTGGGTGGGTGCAGTGAAATGGAACACCAGCAGTTGCTAGTGAAGGTGGTAGATGAGGTTTTAAATTGATTGATTGGCTTGTGTAGACAGCTTTTGCCATTGTAGCTAAGCTATGGTAGCAGGTAATTTCGTCCAGTCTGTACATAATAGTGCCTGCAATGCAATGTTAGTGCCTTGGGTTCTCTGGGCTTACTAACTATTATGTGGTGCATGTTTCGTATGCTTCTGTTTCTTCCGTACTCAGGATCTACTGCAGTGAGTTGGTTGGATGTGAACAGCAGCGAATTGTAACTTGAAAACAAACTCTCTTAGGCATGGAGATGATGTATCACATGGATGTGAGAGTATTTTCCAAACAAATGTTGCTGTATCCAGCACACCCACAAGGGCCGCCTAACTACGGTGTCGAGAAGAAGCGTGTAGCGCGGATAGCGTTGCCACCTCTTCAAATCAAGCCAGCTATGCCAGACTGACTGCCTGCTACACGTAGGGCTTTGGTCAACCCAGTGATGCTTTACGTCCGCCATGGCTGTCGATTCGCTAAGCACGCCTCGTCGACGATATTTGATTTTTGCTGCAGAAAGAGAGCTGTTGTGTGTTACAGTACCTTAACACGCAACAGGCCTGCATCCATTTCAATTCATTGCTAGCTATGTTACTCGACGCCCTTACTAGGACACCCCAACTAGCAGGCTGATCTTGTACAGTCAGGACAGGACTCTCAAAACTACAATTTTAATGAATGACAGAGTTAGAGAGTACATGCACATATACCTAAATGTTGTACCCTCTAGGAGGTTACCCTATACAGTCTATACAAACATGATCAATAAACATGTTTGACACACCCCCTGGACTGCATAGGGGAATGTCCTAGATAAGCAGCTCAGGGCGGCACTACTAGTCCAGCCTCTGAGACAAGGGTCTAAAAGACCAGTCAGAAGGAGTACAGACAAGACAAGAACAAGTACAGGGCGGCACTACTAGTCCAACCACTGTGAGAGGACACAAGTCCAGTCTGAGTGTACACATATATATATAGGACAGTACAAAGTCAAGGCCCGAGTAAGTGAGCGACTACAGGAACCAGACCAAGCTGTACACAGTGCCGCTGATGATCTTTAGGCGCAAGCGCCTTCGTAAAGATATCAGCTGTGTTGGCACCGGAGGCCAAGTGTACTACGCGAGCCTGGCGACGATGCTGTAGCTCGCGCAGGAGGAAGTACCGCAGCTGGATGTGCTTCGCTCTACCCTCGAGTCGAGGCTCCTGACACAGGAGGATCATGGCCCTGTTGTCAGCGTACAAGACCGGGGCAGAGCTAGGCCGCTCACCTAAGTCAGTGAGCAAGAAGGTCAGCCAGCGGAGCTCCTGTGCCGCCATGGCACCGGCGTAGATCTCAGCCTCACAGCTGGACTGGGCAACAGACGAGGAGCGGGTAGCTCTCCATGAGACAGCACCTGAGCCAAGGCTAAAGCAGTAGCCCTGGGAAGACCTGAGCGTCTCGGCGTCGTCTGCCCAAGAAGCGTCTGTGTGTCCAGTAAGGACCACTGGCCTACGTCCGCCTAGCACTAACCCCATGCCCGATGTACTTGCAAGATAACGCAAAACCCTCTTAGCGGCAGACCAGTGCTGAGGTCGGTGTCTGCCTGTGGCCACGAAACGAGCCAGGATGCTGAGAGGGTATGCGAGATCTGGGCGAGTGCAAGTCATCAGGTACATGAGGCAACCCACTAGCTCAGCGTAAGGACCACTGGGATCTACCGACTCCTCAGGAACTGGAGCGGAGAGTCTGTGGTCCAGAGGAAGAGGGGTGGGCTGTGCGGAGGAGAACTGAAGGCCGAACCTCTGAAGGACCTGGCGCACCAAGTGTGACTGAGTCAGGGTGATGGTGCGCGCGGCTCTGTCTCTGGAGATCTGCAAGCCAAGGTAACGGCGCAGCTCTCCAAGGTCAGTGCAGGTGTGTCTCTTCAGCAGCTCTGCCTTCACGGAGGCCAGTGCGTCCCTGTCAGCTGTGGCAAAGACCAGGTCGTCTACGTAGACAAGGATGTAGAACGGAGTCGGGCCAGCACGAACGAAGAGCGAGGGGTCTGCAGAGGACGGAAAGAACTGCAGGTCAGCAAGGGTAGCACGCAGCGTGTCGTGCCACTCACGAGGCGCCTGGCGCAGGCCGTAGACTGGGCGCCGCAGAAGCCACTGGGTCCCAGGGGGGAAAGTGCCAGTAAAGCCCTGAGGACGACGCAGGTAAACCTGCTCGTGAAGGCTGCCCTGAAGAAAGGCAGTGGAGAAGTCGAGGGAGTGAAGCTCGTAGTCACGCTGAGCCGCTACGTGTAACAGAACCCGAAGAGTAGTCATCTTCGGCGTAGGAGCGAAAGTCTGAAAGAAGTCCACCCCCTCGCGTTGACTGAAGCCTCTAGCCACGTAGCGCGCCTTGAACACAGGCGGCTCTCCAGGAGGGCGCTTCACCTTGAAGAGCCAACGGCCATCGACCACGTTCACCCCAGGTGGGGGAACTGCGTCGACGAAGGTGCCGGTGGATCTCCAAGATGCCATCTCCTGTTCCATGGCAGCTATCCACTGAGAGGCCCAGGGTCCCGAAACCGCCTCAGCGTAAGTACGAGGGGTCGGGATGTCGAAAGCGTCTGGGTCACCCTCAGGGACTAGCAGCATGGAACAGAGATGGGGAGCAGCCTCGGACAGGAAAGCAAGCTCAAACTGGCGGTCCTCCAGGACGTCACTGCCGAGGGCAGGAGCACCCCCGACAGACGGAGGACAGGCAGGGTCAGAGACAAGAGCGGTGGCGTAGTCAAGGCGGCGGGTAGAGGCGAAGTCAGCGACCGCAGCGACAAGGGCGTCAAGACTCGACACTGGAACAGACGGGTCGGTAACGAGAGAGGCAAGGACCCGAGGAACAAGAGGGCGAGCGGCACGAAAGTAGTCAGACAGAGGAGGAGACGCAACGACAAGAGAGGACGGAGGAGGAGACGGGAGGAGGGGAGGACGAGACGCGTGGGACCGGAGCAACATAGGGTGAGAGCGCGGGACGGGGGAGACAGGACGAGCACGGGAGGGGCGGCGAGACCAGACGTGAGAGGGGGGCGTCGGGTCAGGAGACAGAGGAGGGGACACTGGTGGGTAACGAGGGGGAAAACGAGCCGGGGACGAGTCCGGCGGAGGGAACACGGGGCCGTAGACGGGAAGAGGAGGAGACGGCAGGAGAGTAACAGGCACAGGGTCAGGGGACGGAAGGCCGAGCAGACGGAGGGCGGACACCGGCGGGGACTGCTGCTGCGGCGACACAACACCAACGCCAGGGCCACAAGCTGCGCGACGGAGACCGCCCGAACCCTCCACACCGGCACCCCCAGAAGGGACACCCCCAGAGCCCGAAACCCCGCCAGCACCGGTACCACCCCCAGGCCCGCCGGGACAAGCCACGACAGGAGCCCCGGGACTAGTACCCACCTCAACGCCAGCACCCCCAGAGTCCACAAACAGCGGCAGCGACGACGGCGGCGGCGGCGGCGGCGGCGGCTGTAGCGACGGCCGCGACGGCGGCGGCGGTGGAGACGACGGCTGCAGCAGCTGCGGCGACGGCGGCTGCGGAGGCGGTGGAGGAGGAGACACCGGGGGAGGGACAGACGGCGAGGACTGCGCCGGAGGACTACCAGAGTCAGAAGACTCGTCGACCGGGACGACCGACGGGAGGGGGGTGACGTGAGACACACCAGAGGGGGCCGGACGGGGGGGCGGGGGGGCCGGGGGGGGGGAGGGGCAGGGACCACCGGGGAAGGAGGGACCAGGAACAGGGGGGGAGTAACCGGGGGACCACGGTGGGGGAAGCGGCGGTAGAAGGAGACGGACTCGTCAAAGGTGACGTCGCGAGAGTGAAAGAAGCGGTGGGACGGCGGGTGGTAGAAGTGCCAGTCGGACGCGTCAAGGGGGAAACCGAGGAAGACGCAGGGGAGGGTGCGGGCAGTGAGCTTGTCCGTGCCAGAGGCACGAACGTGAGCAAGGCAGCCCCAGACGTGGAACGCAGACGCGTCACCAGGGGACCCGGTCCACAGAAGGGTCGGCGAAACCTGCGGCCGCTGGGGGTGCGGCCACAGGTTAAGCTGGTGAGCGGCGTAGCGCACGGCGAACGGCCACAGAAAATGGGGTGCACCGGCGTGGATCATGGAGGTGCGAGCCACCTCCATGACCAAACCGATGCGTCGCTCAGCGACCCCATTCTGCTGCGGGGAGTCCGGCAGGGTAAACGTCTGGGTGATGCCCTCTGCACGACAGAAGCGACCAAGGACACCTGAGGCAAACTCGCCACCCCGGTCGGAGTGGAGGCGCAAGGCAGGGAGACCGCGGTGAACACGAGAAGAGACAAGCCAGGGGATGAGAGCGTCAGGCACGTCGGCCTTCCGCTCCAGGGGAAAGACTGTGGTGTAGCGCGTGAAGTCGTCGACAAGCACTAGGAAGAAGCGCTCGCGACGCGGCCCATGGACCGGGGCTGGGCCCCAGACGTCCATGTGCAGAGTCTGGAGTGGTGCGGTGGTAGGGGGAAAAGAGGAGGAGTGAGGGGCACGGCGGAGCCGGCCCTCGACACAAGGCGTGCACGGGGGGGCGGGGGAGGAGGGAAACTCGGGGAAGGAACCGGGGAGACCAAGGACGAGACCGTGCTGGGACATGTGACGCAGACGCGGGAGTGCAGGGTGACCAAGGCGGTGGTGCCAAAGGAGAGTCGGGTGAGTGAGGGACCGACAGGAGCACGCAGCAGCAACCTGGGTGGACGCAGCTACCTGGGGGGAAGACCCAGCCGGGGAAGTCGCGGTGTCAAGTGTGAACAGGCCGGACACCGGGTCCCGGGGGAAAGTTGTAAGGGGGGCACCAGTGGCGGCCTCGGTACAGACAGCATACCGCTCGTGACCAGGGAACGTAGTGGTGACGCCAAGGTCCTGGAGGCAGCCGACACCAACTAGGTTTCTGGAGAACGAGGGGATATGCAGACCTGTGAGCGAACCTGAAGGAACCGCCGGACAGGGAAGGGAGGTGGAACTGCGGGCAACGACGGGACCACCGGAGGGGTCAGCAAGAGTAACTGCAGCGGGAACAGGCAGCGGCGTCAGCGTCGTGGAGTCGCGGAAGAAACACCGGGAGGCGGCAGAGTCCAAGGTGAAGGAAAGCGCAGCAGTCGCGCAGGGCGGCAGTGAAGCGGTGGAAGCACCGAGGCTAAGCAAAGCAGAAGATC